TCTGTATATGGGAATCTTTTTTTTTTTTTTTAAGAGGGAAGATTTTGTGATAATCCTTTACCTACGTAGTCAGCATAGCTCAAAGTAAATGCAAAAGTGACTCAGGTTTTGCCTGATTGCACAAAAATAACACAAGAAGAGAAAGTGCAAGAAACTGGAACGATATTCTGCTGTATAAGCTGTATTGCTCCAGCCTTGAAAGGTCAGATAATATGCCATAAGAACAGCATTGGTAAGACAGTCTTTTACGTCTGTCTTATCTTAAGCCCTTTACTGTTAGAGTGTAATGGATTTGTTTTGAATTTGTGTTATGTAGGTGCATGTTTTAAATTTCTATTGATGCAATTCAGCAACTGGACTACTAGTACAAATGTGTCTTGAGCAAACAAGTTTTCAGTTCTTATCTCAGTATAGGAAAATGTAAAATATCATCTATCATACATATGTTAAAGAGGCTGTAGATAGATTGAATATCTGGAATGAAAAAGGTTGCGGTTGACTGCTGTCTAAATGAATGCATTTCATGAGTTTGCACCATCTCCTTTTCAGCCTGGCAGATTTGAAAGTGTCCTTATCAGGCCTGGAGATGATCCAGTCTAGTGATGCATCTCCTCAGATCTACAGTGTTCTCTCGAGCCACTCAGGCCCTACTGACCTCCATCTTCTCACCTCCAGTGGTAAAAAGCAAAAAGCATCTCCCTGTGCTTCTGGCTTTGCTGGAATCATCAGTATCAGTGAAAGTTACGGGGACTGCAGTGGGAATCAGAGCCCTATTCCCGTCCCAGCAGCCCCTGCTCCGAGCTTCCCAGCAGGCCTGAAGCAGCGCTTCCAGCCCTTCGGCAGCTCTACTGCTGCTCACGTGTCCCAGAGCACCACCTCGTCCTCTCTTTTGCCACCAAAGAAAGCAAAGCTGGAGTCTGAAGAGACCAAAGACCAGAGTAAGAGAAAGAAAAAGAAGAAGAAAGAGAAGCACAGCAGAGACGAGACCATTGAAGTGGCCCACATTAAGCAGGAAGAAATATCTTATGAATGTGGTGAGCAGCAAGTCCCAGAGCCGGCGGAGGAAGATGGTACAGCAGAGAGAAAGAAGAAAAAGAAGATTAAAAAAGAGAAGGAGAGAATGGACACACAGGATGAGGTGGCTATTGATACCAGTTTGATAACCAAACAGGAGCCAATGGACATGTCCTTTGGGGACAGTGAAAGCTCTGTGAAAAAGAAAAAGAAGAAGAAGAAGAAAACACAAGATGAGTAAACATTGATTAAAGGTCATTATACATGTATATTGTGATGGTAACTATGGTGATTTTAAGCTTTTATGTCAGAAATGTTGTCTACAACAGTTAATCATGTTACAGCAAACTGTATAAAGGCTGAAACATTTATAAATGAATTTATTGCATCCTTTTTGTCAGTGTGGTGTAAGCAAATACTGAAATGTGTCACTCAGAAGACAACATTTCCAATCTTAAATCATATTTTGCTAAAAAGTTATTTGCATTCAATTGAGTGCAAATGTTTGCAAATGTTTCACCCTTAAGACCATTTATCAAAAAGACCAGTGATCTTTTTCCTGTATAGGAACTTCAGGTTATATTGTATTATATAGTACATAGCTTTGTTTGTTTGTTTTTACCACAAAGATCCCACACTGTAGCTGTATGATATTAACAGTAAAAATTGCTATCAGTTCAGTGATGTACTGTAAAGGTTCAAGATTCTTTACCACTTAGGTGGAATTTGGTTTCATACAGCTCTGTGTAGGTGCAAATCACCAATTAAATGAGGAATGGCACAAAACAAATACAAAAAATAAATTATTACATAATAAATTCCAAACATTACAATGGAAAAAAGAGACTAAATATTTTAATAGGAACTTTTCTTTAATAATTTATGTAACCACTCCTTGTCTTTATAACTGCCTCCAAACTTTTTTATTTCCTCTGAACAGCTTTTGGAATATCTCAGCTGTAATAGTCACCCTTCCCACCTCCACCACCCACCCGTGTTCTTCTGCTAACTCTGATCTAACTGTGCTAGGCTGCTTGGCCAATCTTCACCCATACTTCTCTAGGTTATAATGTCAGCTAGATGCCATACACTGTGTTTTTTGAGCTGGACAAACTGGTAGACCACCTTTGCCGGCTGGTAAGTGCTGGTAGGAAGGGATCAGTTTCTGAATTACTGCTGCTAATATTACGTTGTGCTAAACCTGTAAATTAAAGCCCAGTTCAATATGTCATATTAGCCTATAATCATGCAATATCAAATAAAGAACTGATTTCATAGATGAAGACAAATCTAAATTCTTATATAACTAATATGTCCAGCTAACTGTTAATGTATACATGTGTCGCATAATAACATATTGATGAGAGGATTTTAATTGCATTTAGTATATTTATTGACACAACCGTGATATTTAGCCAACTGTACCAGAGAGCTCTCATTGTAGCAGTCATGGGAGGAGAAGGAATTGATGTGTAATGTTGGATGATATGCTCCATTTGCTAATGTGGGAAGTAGCAGAGAGTCACAACCTTGATCTCCAGTGGTACTGCATTAGTAGATGAAGTCACAGCTTCCCTCACTAACTCCACAATCACTGCAATACCCACGCATTCGTGACAATGCCATTTTAAAAGTTCATTGTCATTATTTTCAACACATTAACTCAATTGCCTCATTAAATGTCAACAGCGAGGAGCATGTCTTAGTGCCTTAGGAGGCCTTTAGGCCAGTGGTTTTCAAACTTTTTGCAGTTAGGGACCTCTTTAGCTGTTAAAAAAAATCACAATCACAACCCACATTTCAAATGTGTACAATAATATTCTGCCTGTTTATTATATATTATATAATAGAGATTTCTAGTCCTTGTATTCCTGTGTGATGGAAAACATTGGGTCCAAGTTGACATTATTTATAGACTGGCTTGTTTTTCAGTTATTAAGGTTTGGATTGAACTAATTTAATTCAAGGTTATTAACTATTAGAACTATTATACATAAATACAACATTGATCATGTGTTGTGATTTGCACCACTGTAACAAAATTTTAAAAATAAATAAATCACAAACTCACTGGCTATGATTCACAGACCCCTGGACCCTATCTTGAAAAGCATTGCTCTAAAACTGGAACTGGACTTTAAAATTAGGGTAAACATAGTTACCGAAGCATTTCCCCTAAATCTCCCAGTTAGTAGCTATGTTTAGCCTTATGAATTTTTTTGTGATTATGGCCCCAGTTCTTGTGATTAATAACAGGGTCATAGCAAAACATCCATCCATCCATCCATTCTCTGTACCGCTTATCCTACAGGGTCATGTGGTAACCTGGAGCCTATCCCAGGAGACTCAGGGCACAAGGTAGGGGACACCCTGGACGGGATGCCAACCCATCAGAGGGCACAATCGCACACACACACACACACACACACACACCCATTCACACAAAGGGCAATTTGGAAATGCCAATCAGCCTACAATGCATGTCTTTGGACTCGGGGAGGAGACCGGAGTACCCGGAGGAAACCCCCAATGCACGGGGAGGACACACACTCCGTGCACACAGGGCGGAAGAAGGAATTGAACCTCCAACCGTGGAGGTGTGAGGCAACAGTACTATCCACTAAACCACCGTGCCCCTCGATAGCAAAACATCTTTTCAAAAAAGGATTTTGGTACTCCTGCAATTCATTTTTAGCATCTTGGATTTCAGTCTTTTGTACATTATTGTAAAACAGAGGTACAGAGCCAGAATCCATGGGGAATACTTTTGCACTCAGGTTCATGTGAAAATGGCACACTGATGTGTGATATTGACCCTACATGGTCTCTCGGTTGGAAATAGGCAATAATTTGCAAAAAAAAAAAAAACACATTGTAGGACAAGTTGCTGAGATTAAGAGATGTATTAACAGTTTACCGTTTCTCACGACTTCATTGGTATGGTCTGGTGATCTCCCTCTCAGGGGTTGGAATCCTCACAGCTCTTGCACGAGGTCAGGTGTTAGGAGCAGACATGGTGTTGCAGTGGTGCAGTGCTCAGTGTGAGCGATAGGTGGCGCTGTTGCTCACTTGCACAGCTTCCACCACTGGTGCGATACACTGGAGGTTTGCTGTGAGTTCTGCACTGAGGTATGGCCATGTTTTCTAATGAGCATTGAGCATCTGATGCCTGCTGATTTAAACCCTTCTCCAGTTATTCAAGCACAGCGGAATCACTTTCAGCTCCATTCTTTACTACTTCTCTGAGTCAGTGTATGAGTGAGTGCACAGTGCAGGATACTGGCTTCTTTTGGGAAGAAAATGCACTGTAGTATGAACATCATCTCATGATCTTCTGTACATATCAGAAGCTGAATTCTGAAGGAACTTTTAGAGCCAACTTCATTGGTTGTTCTTATAGTAAAACTATTATTTGACATCTTTCATAATCCTTTTGTCTTCTGACTGTATGTCTGAAAACAATCCAAAGGTTCATTGTGGCACTGAACACTTATAGTATACTGCACATGTTTCATTGTTTTATTGTCATGTACTGTCCTCATACTATTCACTCATGTGGTTGCTGCTCTGTATACACATACACACACGTCAGTGTCTGTGATTGAGTGATGGAAGAGCTGGACACCATGTGCACACAGGATGCAAGGTTTCCTCACCTCTCTTACTCTCCTGCCCAGCATGAAGGATGTGATAAGTTCTTTTTCTTTTCTCTTTTTTTTTAAATTTTTTTATTTTTTATGTGGGGTGCCGCTGTACCATCAGTGATATGAGATGCTGGAACAACGCTTACTGCCTGGCAGATAAATAATTGAATGCAGTCTGAAGTTTGGGAACGACGTGTCCAGACTGCAGAGCAGGCTCGAGCCCTGTGCGCCCCAACTGATGCAAACGATAACGTTTGGAGGGGTGTATGTGTGTGTGTGTGATAAATTTCTCATTTGTGCAGCGTCCGTCCCTCATCCCCCCTCTCTCTCTCTCTCCTCCACCCCCTCTCTTTCACTGCAGCAATCTTTCCTTGCTGTATGCTGTAAAGCTCTCACTCTTTCAGTTCTCTCTCTCTCTCTCTCTCTCTCTCTTTTCGGCCTGCGGCATTCAGGGGGGTGGATGGTGTGTTACCATGGCAACGCAGACTTGCCAAGGACCGTGGAGTCGCATTCACCGACATGAGCAAGCGTTCCCTCATTAAAACATAAAAGAAACCACTTATTGTTTTTATTGTGTGCAAAATAGCATCCTCATCCGGCCCTCCTTTTGTGTTTCTACTCTTTATGTGATTATACTGTGTATAAGATGTGTGTACTATGTGAAGGTGCGTGATTGTGTGTAATGTGTGTCACATAAAGGCTGAGAATTTCCGTCATGTGGCATGAAGGCACTTTGGAGTGACGCACCACTTACTTAATTGCATACTAATGCTTTGACACAGCGCAGCTAGTCTTCCTGTTTACGAGCTGATGCAAAACAAAGTGCAGGCAAAATGATTTGAGCGAGAATACAGACCTGTATTTGTTCAGCCCTCATACATGTCACATGTTTGGTGCGCTTCCTCTCAGCTAATTTAAACCAGAAATGAAGTGGATTCACACTCACATTCCAGATCACAGAGCAAAATGATGTTCTAGTTAAAGTGTGTGTGTGTGTGTGTGTGTGTGGAGGGGAGGCTGATGCTACTGTTGCTATGCGCTTACAGACAAGTCAATTCCAACATATGCTATGAAAGCGGCCCCTTTTCTGCTAGTCTCCATGACAACCGCAATGCCATTTTTGCCCCCATTGTTGCCTTGCCCACCTTTCTGTGTGTGATTGGAGGATGAAGCTGTGCAGGGACGCTGCCTCTCATTCATCATCCTGCTCCAGTCACAAAGAATGCTCAAATATTGCATTTTATTGTTGAAATTGAATAGCACCAAAGATTTTATTAGCATTTTTCCCCCCACAAATGTAACACTCGAATTTTCTGAAATAAATGAAATCTGAAATACCAGTATGAATATTAACAGTTTAAATTAGCAGTTTAGTCATGGGCTGGAGACATTTTTCAAAAAAGCTGAAGGGTAATGTAATGGAGAGCCTATTTCTTGTTGTCCACATGCTTCGACTTGGAAAATCATAAAAATTTGCCCAGATCGGTGGGTGTGAAATGCTACGGGTGGGGTTACTCTTAGAAAAAAGGTTAAATCTAGGACACTTAATGGTTCTCCAATTGTCTCTCTGGGAGAACCCTAGAAGAAGCCTTAAAGGGTTCTTTTGCCCCCAGAAGTGCAGTATTAATATTTTTCCTTATAACAGAAAATGGAATGAAATTTGCTGTCTTTGCGTGTTCATTCTCATATAAATGTCTTATGAGATCAGGTTCCTTGATGTACCACTGTTTATGAAGGGTTTTTTTTCTACAGAACAAAGAATCAAGTTTCTCAAAATCATTGTAAAGTTAAGATCATCTGAACTGAAAGGAAGAGTGTGACAGAGTGAGATGCTCACTGTATCATTTAATGCTTATCTTAGTTCTGTAATGTTTTAGGAACCTCAAAACATCCTAGACTGACTTTTGGTCATTTCTTTGTCTTAGTACTTGGTATGATGACACCAAGTCGACGTCTGTTTTTAATATATCTACGTAACATGTTTGTGTGCTCCAGACCCAGGCACTGCTCCAACAGTAAGCCTTCTAGCAGAGGCTCGTTTTGTTGGAGATCAGGGTTCAGTATGGTGGAGACGAGCTGCATGACCCATCGAGGTGGACCAACTCTGATTCTGCCAGGCCTGCTGTGTGCCATCTGCTTAAGGGTCACACACACATACACACACACACTCGGACACACACCCATCTCCCTCTCGTTTCTCTGATGCAGTGATGATGTCTTTATGTCCTCTTCATACTCTTGGGTGGACTAGATAATCGGGGAAGAGCTGGCAGAAAATGGGTCATTAAAAAAAAAAGCGCTTTTTATATCCTCCCTGTAACACTGTTGAATTTAACCTTCAGGTGTTAGCTGTTGCTAAAATTGTGGTGGAAACTGGATGTAGGCTAATTAGATGTGACATTGCTTCTTTCTGACTGAATAGAATTTGAATATGTTCTTGATGAAAAGACTGGTTTAGAGTCCCAGTCACGTATTTGCAACGTGTTAAAACAGCCTGATACTAGAATCACATCATATTAAGAGCAATGTTGATGAGATTTTCATGATATTTTGTCATTTTTGTCACTATCCATAGGATTTCAGAAGATTTTATTATTTCATTTATTCAGAATCAATAGTTGATGTTTGCAGTCAAACAAGGAGACACAGTCACTGTGATTGCTTTTATGTAACTGAGTAGTAGGCTATCAGACATTTGTGTAGCACTAACACTGTTGCTACACACATACTTTCAGCTAATCTGGCTCCTTATCTCTGCACCGGGAGGATCTAGTAAGGGTCTTCTCTTCCCTCAGGACATCAGCACCCTACAATCTCTTCCTTCTATGGTCTTTCACAAGGCTGTGGTGGCGTTCCTCAGAAAGGTCATAACATGTCAGATTTTCTCCTGTGGCTCTGCTAAAAAGATAGATGCCTCCCGTCAGTATTAAAGCAGTCCTCTCTGAGTCTCAGTACAGCAGCTGGGCGGTCGCTGGGCAATGAGCGGTCAGGAGCATGCTGCCTGAGAGCAGTCTGAATAACCCACTGAGAGAGTCAAATCCCTCTCAAGTGCTTATCGTTTGTAGGGTTATGAAGCTGTTGCTGGGTTGTTGAAGATTCCTATTAAATATGAGGCTATTTAGGGACTGAGTGCAGTCCTTGAGCTTGTTGATGTCTATATTCTGGGCTTCTGAATCAGCCCCTGATTGTTCCCATCCTTGGGATCAGCCCTGTGCACAGTCTTAGTTATAAAAAAAAATAGCTCCCAAGTGCACCTTAAATGTATTTCATTACTGATTAATTATTATAAATGACTAATTAAATATTTAGTTTTAGGTATTCTACAGTTTCATCAGTTCATCAGCTTATTTTGTACTCAGCTTTATTATTGTTATAGTGCTTATTATTATTATTATTATTATTATTATTATTATTATTATTATTATTATTATTATTATTATTATATTGGAACAGTGCTTTATCCTACAGGCAGCAAGCCTAAACGAAATACAGAGAAAGGGGAGAATTTTTAAATCTCAGCCTAGGGAACGAAACTGGTGGTGCAGGAGAGGATTCTCAGCGCAGTGACAGTGCGGCCTACTAGCACACAGTCATTGTCACACATTTCTATCACTGATCATAATTCTACAGTGTAACTTGCTCACACACCACACTGGTGTACAAGTAGGACAGGAAGGAAAATTACAGATGGTGAATCTTCTTTGTCGCTGTGATTCTAATTGCAGCTTCATGAACCTACGCTTGATAATAAATCATTAACGTGGAAATGACATGACATAATTTCCCAAGAAGTGCTTAATTTCTGACAGGATGCTGTAAAAATGTATTTATTAAAGCATATGCTCAAGAACAGAAAAAAAAACAACTGCAGTAATGCAGAACATATCAGTACCATAAAATTGATAAAAGAAATCACTGTACACGCTACAGTGTTTTAAAATCACAGTTTTGCATTGCAATTTCCAAATATCCTTAATTTCTTTCTTTCTTA